TCAGAAGTGCATCGAATTTTTTTTATTACAGCCTGATTCCACACCATATTTTTGGTACAAGTATGAAATTTTCAGCATGTGATATCGGTAGCCCAAATTTAGCAGGCCGACTATAGATATCAGGTGTGCGTCAGTAGGGGGTCGACCATGTGCATGGTTGGCGAGAGTCCTAACCGCTGCGCCACTGACTTGAAGCAGTTTTTGAAACACAACCCGCTAAAACAACCTCATACTTATTCAGGACTTCAAAAGAATTTACAATGAAAAAGTTGGTGTCAACCAGTCAGCCTTACAATAAACAAATGAGGACTAACTACAGTAGTTCACTGGCTGTATCATTTACTTAGTTCAGTCCTTAAAGACTCAAAATTTAATTTCCCAGTTTGCACAAACAGCTGATGATATCATCGCATCAGGAACTCTGGTCGATAAAATCCGGTCAAAATATGGGAAATCAGTTAAGGTACACTGTGATCTTAAATCGTTTCATTTGACAGAACACAATGATCGATAAACTTTTTGTCAGTACACATCAGAGCTAAGTATTGAATAAAAAACCTAATGAAATGAGTGTGTTTTCACCATATCTTACTAACATATAGAGTTAAGATTATTGGTATTAGACGGTTGGAGGTAATCGGCAGGAAGGCCGGCCTGACCTAGGTTTCGTGCTAGTTGGCACTCGTCAGAAGGACGTATCTGCAACTTTGAAGGAACTCATGTCCCTTCTGAGATGAGAACCCACGTCATCCAGTGCTGCAGTCAGAGACGTTAACACTGAGCTATTCAGGCTAGCGATTGACCTCCTGTAGGACTGTATTGGATATTTTTCACTGAACACTAGTCAGTAACTAGTGCAATGAGTCCAGTCATATCTTCGCTGTAGACTGAATTCTATCAGTCAAGCTTGCAGTGGGTGGCGCGGTTTCAAATCTCAGAAGGGAAATTAGTTCTTTCGAGGTTGCAGACATGCCCTCCTGACGAGTCCACATTGCAAACTTGACTGATAGAATGCAGTCTACACCGAAGATAGAACTAGACACATTACACTAGTTACTGACCAGTGTTCAATCAAAATGTAGAGTTCAGACTAGCCAGCAATATGATACATACTACTGATATGAATAGTTAGAAACCGGTGATATCGACCGGTAGTGTCCTTCAGACAGACCAAATTGGTCCAGTCGCCGGATGACTGATTATATTTTATGTAGGACTCAGTTTATAAGATGCCTACTGAAATCAATAAAATTCATGCGTGGGGACTGCCGCTATTCTGAAACTATAGTTGACTGTTTATTCAGATTATTGAATGGTGTAGATAGTATACTTTTGATTGGACTGGATACTAGTTAGGAACTTGTGCACTGGATCTGGTCCTCTGTTAGTTCAAAGGCTTCCTGCTGATTGCCTTCAACCTTCTAACAACATTGGACAGTGCGTTTAGTAAATACTTCCTATTGAATCTCATCTAGAGGTATATAGCCACTATCCATAGAAAGGTATTAAGTAATGCAAGTACTAATCTCTTCTGTACAAAACGTAGCATTCCATTATGGAGAAGATTTTATTTTGATAAATCACGTTTCGGGCGCAATCTGTTGCCACTCATAATCATAATAAGTCACTCACATAACTTTTTCCTTCATTTACATACGTGAGTAAAATTGACTAGACATTTGAATGATATGTATATTTAGAAAAAAATAGTAGTCTTATAGATAAGATGCAGTAGGATGGGAAATAAGGCGTTTTTGATAGTAAAATAAATAACTTGTTAGAATGTTATAATGCGAAGTGCGTCAGTGTTATAGCGGTTAGGACGCCCGCCGACCATGCACATGGTCCGAAGTTCAATCCCCGACCGACGCACTCCTTTGCCTTTCTGAGCCAGAAATAATGCTGGTAAAGAGGAAAGGTTGGGCATGAGGCTAGCAACCCCATCCTGTAAAATAAACACTGCTACGGAAACTTCAAGCCACTAGCTTGAGGCCCTATGTTCCACTGGGAACGTGAAGGAAAAAGCAATCATCAATCCTAATGCGAATTCAATATACTTGAACATTATGTATTATTCTCCAATATGACTGGTAATAATATCTTCCATATTTGTGGTATTTGCATGGAGTCATCTCTGTTGCGTGTGCTGGGAGTAGACTATTCAATGAACCAGGATTCAGTAATCACTCTCTCTCTCTCTCTCCGCCTACCTTTATTACTTCTTAGAATTTTAACCTTACCCCACCCTAATGTGCAGTTGTCTGAATGCATGCAGTGCAATGTAGTGCTGAGCTTTCTGCTAAATTACTTATCTTCACAGGTGGGGTCAATCGTTCTAACCTTAGCTAAAATTTTATATTCTGATAATCTCACTGCTCCTGATCTACTAGTTTGACCTATGTAGTTCATCTAACTCACAGTCATTGCAATGTATTTTGTAAACTATATTATTTTGTTTGATTGGTTCCACCAGATCTTTCACACTACAGAGCTGTATTGTACAACACTGTGTGATGACATGCATGTCAAACATGCGCAAGATAATGACAACACCAACAATAAGGAAGCTAAATCATCAGTAGTAATTCCATACAAGGAAGGAACTTCGGAAACCTTAAGCAGAATTCTTAACAAGACAGGAATAAAAATGGCTAGCATTCAAACGCAGAAACTCCATTAGAAACAAATGAGGTCAGCTAAAGTAACCTGTGAGACACGTTAAACAAAATATTTATCCAATACCCTGCTCGAATGATTGTCACGTCAAATACATAGGTCAAAGTGATAGAACGGGATCAGTCAGACAGGCTAGCGGACCAGCACAAAACCTACCGGGAAAATCTAGATTAGTTGACCCGAATAATATAAGAAATCTGGAGAATAGTTCAGGTATACCACTCACTACATGCGGTTATACACAACCACACAATCTAGGATGATGGGATAAGGTGACAGTTTTAAAATCTAATCTAATGTCACAGGGTGTAGAGAGGAAAAGATTGATAACAGAAGCTCTGTCTATCGAATCAACTGGAAACACGTGTATTAGGAATGATTCAGCACCTGTCAAGCCGGACATCTGGAAACTTCTACTACCCCAGCGACAATAAATACGAGAGAACAAAGAAAACTATAAATCTCAAGTCTCGAAGTCGTGGATTACAGCTGATATGATTATGAAGAACAAATTTTGTTCGAAGCCACGTCATCCAGTAAATAATACTGTTTCACTCATTGTGTGATACATCTAATAAACTACCACAGTGCCTAAACTTTACACATATATTAATAACACTGTTTGATTTAACAAAATAAAATCTTATCCACAATGGAGCTGTACTCTACCACCACAGTGCCCAAGTTTTATATTTATATCAAAACGTAGCATTATTGAGAATCTTATAAAATAATTCATTATGAACACACATCCTCCGACAATGCCAAAATTTAACACAAACAATAAGAATACGACTTTATATTTGCCTTTTTATGTCAGAAAAAAAGGTGAAAACCTACAATTTATGGCATAATATGCCAATAAGATTCAAAGCTATATATATTCCATGGAGGATTTAATATATATATTCATTCATACCGCTGGTCAATGTTGACAAGTGTTATTATTTGAACTAGTTCAGGTATATTAATGGACAGAAATACAAAAATTAAAGGTCAGTGTGTGTGTGATCAGGATTTGTGTATATTCAATTTTTAACGGGTGGAATGGCCATGTTCAACGTGAATGCGTACAAATAAGTAGGTTAATAATAAAAACCAAGGTCTGTAATCTGTTTGTACACTGTACTGTAAACATCAACTATCGAATTGTTTCATTATCATATCAGATTATTTGTTTTTATATAATATATATATATATATATATATATACAAATAATATTTTGGGATAAAAAGGTACAAATGACACTTTTTAATGCATAGCCTTTCAATATAGTATAGTTTATATAACCGCTACAATAGTGTACTACAATAATCTACTCCTAGCGTATATAAATTTTCATTGTAATTCTAATCAATAATCAGTTTTTAAAAGTACTTCTCAAGCAGACTGAAATGATGAAAACGTCGAGATTCTGGCTAGGGCGATTCGCATGAAACAACGGGTACTCCATGTGCAGAAGAAGCAAGTTCAACTAGCCATTACTACTGCCCTCGCCAGCCTACAGTGGAGAGTATAAATTCATGCATGTGTATTATTGTCACTTTTCTTAATTTTTCTTCCATTCAATTTATTGTTATGTTAAAGCCACTGAACTGTAATCCATTTATATTATTATTGTCATTGATTCGATGTTATTTAAACAGCAACATTAATGTTGTTAATGACACTAAATCATTCATTCACTATTATTGATGGATATGTAACTGTAGAACCCAATGATAAAGAGCAGGTTATCGAAAGGTGTATTCTTTGTTCAACAACCATTCTTTTAATAAATATTCAGACAAAATTCCCTACAAAAAACCAAAACCTGAAAATTAATCTGATGCTCACTAGCGACTTGCCCTATTCAGGCAGCGACCAGTAGGGCGCAACAGGTTGAAGATGAGGCAGTAACTCATCGAAGAAGACATTGCGCGAAGTGGTCGTGCTATGTCATGAATTGTCAGAAGTTAGAATTCATGGGCTGGCCACTGGATCGGGTCAGTTTCCAGTGGCTGCTTAATGGTCTGCGAGTTAGCTCACCTTGTAACCAGAAGGTCGTGGGTTCGATTCCTTGTGGTGGGTGGGCGTAATGGTGAAGAGCCGGTCGAAAACTAGGCCAATGGAAACAGCTATTCAGTGCTCCCTGCAGGTTTTCCAATGTCTCTAACTAATGTCAGCTCATGATGAAATGCTTCAATTAATCAAAAAAAAATTTCCCAGAAAACAAATACTCGGAAAATAATAAATATTCAATGAATACTGTACAGTCCATAGCTCGTTTTACATTAATTAAGCCAAAATTTCCGACGATTAGGTTTTTAGTAAAAAATGTTACCTGACTCTTTGCCATTATCACCAGTTGATAATGCGAGAGAGAGAGAGAGCAATGTGTTGTAATGCTGAAATACAATCGTCAAAACTAATGGTGATCTTTAGTCATTTAGGTCTTTTTAACCACGAGCCTTATTACATATTTTGTTAATGGATTTGTAGATGAGCAATTCAAAGAAAAAGCATACTGCATTGCAGTGAGTCAATCAATAGCATTTTTCAACCTATGCGCGCATCTTAGATGTTGGCAATACAGTAGAAGCCAAGACAAAAATATTTACCACTTAATTGACAGGATTGTTGTCTAATTTTAACATTTTATCTTTTTGCAGCATATTGAAGCAGATTGGTGCACATATTGTTCTTGTCTGTTAGTGAAGTATAAGAGCGTATTATTTAGGTATTTGGTAATCTATAGCAGGTACATGTGATAAACGTGGTTTTGACTCCTGGATAGTATATCTGTAACAGTGGGTCTACTAGACGTGTGGTGCAAATAATAATCCAGCTGATATGATTCTACACACATACATACAACACACTATGCTTTGATATAGTCTACCGATGACATGAAATGTACTCCTTTTATCCTGCTCCATGTGTGTTGCCATTGCTTTGTTAAAAAAAAAAAACAGACGATCTGATTGACTACAACTAAATAATTAAACGTATGGATAGTAGTCTGCAGGTTAAATGACAACTTGCTTACGACGAGAGCTGCAAATTCGTGTTAAATGACTTTGAAAGTAATAGTTTGTACTACACTCTACAAACCTCCATATCAATCAAACAAAACCAGTATAATCAATATTTGCTTACTTTCGATACTTTCTCTCTTCATCCTCCTGCATTAGAAGTCTTCAAAGGAATTAATTCACTACAATCTATGTCGACAAAACCTAAAGTTTCGCAAAGAGTTATTTCAGTTACAATATTTGCCCTTTAACTAATTTATCCAACCAAATAATTGGAGGATGACTAAGTTGGAATAATCGATTGCCGTCACTGTTCATTTTGTGTAAAGATATGTCGCATGTTGACAATGTTCTAAGCCAATATAAAACCATTCATCCTTTGTTTAAACTGTTTAAATACACATTCAAGTGAATCTTTTACATTTGTCACAGCTGTTCAACAGTCTTCCTGAAAAAATATGTCCCCTACTAACCCTGGCTGCAAGTTGGAGTATCATGTTCAAGTTTATGAAAATAATTAGGCAATTGTCATGGTGATTTCTTACGTCTTTCACTGATAATATATTTTTTGTTCAGCAAGCACCCAGACACACAGTATTTTGAATTATGTGTTCTGATGAATACGAGGGATTACGCGTTGTCTAACACCTAAAAACAACAATACTGACTCAACAATTTGTGTAACATGACCACTTGCAATGACCATGACCAATAAATTACTAATTCACTTAGAATATTTACTCCATAAACAAAAAAGAAAGTTTCGCTAATAATAATATTAACACAAAAGGAACAACTGTTACTACTAATCAGGGACATAAAATTTTTGTATCGCATAAGAATAACAATTATTTCGCACAACTCACTTTGCTTTGATTGTTGAATTTTCCGACGTTTTTACTGGTTTACCATCATCTTCGACAGTTTTATCGTTCGCCATGTCGTCTGATTTGGGTATTGGCAAGTTAAATTGTATTTTTCCCATAATGGTCCAAATCTGCCAGACTTATATGGGACGGGACAATGGTCAAGTCACTCCCTTCTTCTTGTTTTTTTTCTGAGTCCTGCCTTGTCTTAATATCACTGACTTGATCAAATGTATTATGTACTTTTCTGTGTTTAAATGAATCTAATTTTCAATTATTTTTGTTTTTTTTGCTTTTATTTGATGAATAATGTGCGTATTAGGTGGTTTATCCACAAACAGTCTCACTTTGGTTATGCATATATATATATATGATTCACGTGTTATTGTTGGCTAATAACACATAACAATATGACACACAAACACTAGTAAACACAAATACATTCCTGTTCATGTGAACATGTTTACTTATTCAAGCAGATCAGTGAAAAATTACGATGACTACGCAATATAAGAAGCACAAACTAACCAATCAGGTTTAAGATTGAGAAATTTTATAGGGCAACAAATAGGAAGACTTGTCTAATAATAATAATAATAATTTGTCAGCGAATAGCTGTGTATGTATAACCAGATCATAAAATCTGCACTTTACACTAGGTGACTTTTTCACTATACCTCTGTGATTGGGATAAACACTAAACATGATCTCATGAAATACTAGAGCGTAGAAGTATAGACTTGAGCAGAATTTAATTCCAAACCAGTTTGTCTATTCGGCTTGGCATAAGTGGCGCAGAATTATTTTCGATGACATAATAATAATAATATTAATAATTTTGCTTTATTCCAAAATCGGTACTAATGTTACAGCAAAGAATTTTCAGCATTCAGTACAATATTGCATCTAATTTACTCAGAGCGACAAAAGAAACATTATATAATAATAATAATAACAAAACGTTGTTATAGCAGCTATGTAGCAAATTACAGTATGCGATAAGGAGAAAAATATGCATAAAGTATAAACTTGTGGTAATAATAGTAATAACAAGTAAAATAAATTCGCTAAGCTATAATTAAACGACAGAAAGTGTGACACCATAAAATACAGAAAGATGAACAATGAAAGGGTCGATTCAATGTGCTAATTACATAGTAACTTATGTGTTTCACGTCTAACAGAGTCTTCGTTACATAAAGTACGGGCTAAATAGGGTATTGTAGAATTTCTGTACTTAGTGGTACGAGCATATAACTTTTTATATTGACTTCTCGTCCTACCTGATGAGATACAAGGGGATAGGTGTGAATAAAGGGAGTGCAGAGGGTCTGACAGTATAGCCTTTGCCCATTTTGTACAGGAATTTATATGCCTCTCGACTATAGTATTGGCGAGCTCATGCAGTGGCAGACCACAAGCTCTACTCACAGCATTTAATACTCTTCGTAATATGATATAATCTTTTTGAGAAGCCCAGGAAAGATTAATGGAGAGCAATAGAGTACAATAGGTAAAATACAGGAGTTTAAAAATTGCAAAACTAAAGGTTGGTTGATACCTGATTGTCTTAACTTTTTAATGTAGAAGGTAAGACGAAACATTTTCTTAGAGATTGATAAGATATGGGATGACCGTGAGAGGTCAGAGGAAAAAACTAATCCAAGGTATTTAATGCTTGACTTGGTTTCAATTTCAGTGCCATCTATGCTACAGGCATCTTGGGAACTAACTAGTTCATGTATGTCACGTCGATGCTTGAAAGTAAAGTTAACTGCCTGACATTTGGAAGGATTTAACATAAGACCATTTGACTTAGACCACTTGTTGATGTCCAACAGAAAGCTATTAAGTTTGGAGCTGTCAGACTCGGAAGTGATAGGCAGTGATACAGTCAGATCATCTGCATATTTGACAAAATTAGTTTCGTTTGAATGAGGCAGGTTCTGTAGGAAGATAAAGAAGAAGAGAAGACGGCACCTTGAGGAACACCGGATTTTGTAAACCAGGCAGAAGAAGATTTGCCATTATATACAGTATACTGGATTCTATTAGAAAAATAGGAATGCAACCAACTCTTAGCCCAGGATCCTGTTTGTGTCAACGATAGCATATTTAATAAAAGGCCCCTAGGTACAGAGTCAAAAGCAGATGTGTAGTCTAGGAAAGCACCACGAACTAGTAACACCATTATGATATACGACTACTCCAGCATCCAAGGTACTTCGACCATGTTTATATGCAAATTGTTTAGGATCATTAAAAGGTTTCAATGAAGGTTCAAGACGAAGTGAAAGTAATTTTTTCACCAAATTTTGAAAAAGGAGAAGTAATTGCGATAGGCCTAAATTTATTATCAGTACCAGAAGATAATTTCAATGTTTTTCCATGCATTTAGGTAATATGGAGAGCTTTAATCAAGCAAAAGCTGAAATTAAGAAGTTAAGTGAATAAACTGAGTGATGCAACATAATTGACAAGATTGAGTAGAGCTCAAGTAAAATCGAAAGACCGCCAAGTTGAGGTCAGCGTCATAATGAGTTGGTATATAATAGTGTGCGTAGGCGGGGGGGGGAGGAAGATAAAGAAATTACATGTCAAATGTTTAGGCAACCAGGTTCATTGTAGGTTCAGCAACTAGACATACCTCTTCTTCTTCTTCTTCTTCTTCTTCTTTGTGTAGGTTAAGGATTTAACATACAAACTGCTATAGCTTCTGAAGTTTCCAGGCATTTGATTCTTTCTGCTTTGATATACTTTCCGCGTACTCTGTTGATGATATTGAATTTGGTTTGTGAGACCACTCTACTATTGGTGATATAATCAGATAAGAATTACCAAGGTAGGTTGATTAATAAGCAAAATTCTTTCTATACACACATCAGTGGGGTTAAAGCAGTGGGGATAGCTATAGGGTCTGAATACTTTAGTATGCACCCCTAACTATTTTTATTGATACCCTTGAAAGACGTGTCGATATAAATCATATGACTCATATCAACTAAATGTTTTGTTATAGACGGAGATCGCAGTCTTCCACCTGAGTTCACTGAAGTTTTAATAATTCACTTATCTTTCTAGCCATTTTGGGAATATTTTCTTTCATGCTCACGTGTAAACAGTGATTAGGCGCGACTACACTCAGATATACATCGGTATGGGATATGACACAGTCACCTGTACAATTTTGGAGCTTAAAATACAGCATGTTCTCGACTTTTTCGATAATATTTTACAAATGACCGAATTTAGTTTTTCTCTTAATATTTTATTCGATTTTAGATTTTCCTGTCGATTGATTGGACCGAAGTTCACGGTCTCAGGTTGACAAGTTGGCCTCTAAATTGAATTAAATTATTATTATGACCCATTGTACAAGAGGTGGCTTTCGTGGCCCAAGTGGTCTAATAGACAACGCTGTGGCGTTTGAAACTATGAGCAGTGGAATCGAGCCTCAGTGGGAATAACAGCACTCACTGAGGGGAGTGCAGGTGTATCCAGTTGACTAGTCCCAAATTGAACGAGATGCTAGTCACCATTCACCAATTAATTCCTCTTAATATGCCACAGTTTATTTCATCTCTAAATTTTATTCTTGCTGTTTTGTCTCTTTATTTCTAAAGGGATTATGTTTAAGAACAACCGTTACACAATAAATAGTCAGTCCCTTTATTTGTATATATAAGTGTATATAGTTTATTCATTTACAACAACACAACATTGTGTTTTCGATTAGGTCTTATCATGCTCAACTCTAATGCGCAGAACTTGACAAATAAGTGTTAAAATACAAACCATTCA